TAATAATAATAATAATAATAATAATAGTGATAATAATAATAATAATAATAATAATAATAATAATAATAATGTACCACTCTGTAAATGATTATGCATACAATGGACTCCGGACTAGGTACGTTCCTCTAAGTCTTCCTACCAAAATGACCATGTTGCGAAAAATAGGTCAAACAACCTCTGATAATAAAGTTAGCCTAAACTCTGAAAGTGGAGGCAAATCCAAGCCCAAAAGAGGAAAGAATAAAAGTGATGCTAAACTGAAAACCGGCCAACTCGAAAGTGGAGTCCAAGTAGACGCGAAATGAAGCTATTGCGACCGGCGGATGCGGCAGGACGCTGAAGAGGGCGGTCTTCCGAGAGGTCGAAGCGAGAGCCCAAAACCAGGCTCCGTGAATGGGAAAGAGGGGGAGGCCAGTGAAGTTCGGGTTAGCAGCGATGCCAACCTGTTTGCAGGTGGGACGGGGAGGAGAGGGGAAGAGGGGTGGCCGGGCGGGCCCATAAATCTGGGTCGTCAAGTGAGTGTGCAGACGAGCGCTCCGATCGACGCCACTTCCACGTGCCGGATCCAGTCGGATCAGTCGACTAAGACACGGCACGTAGGCCAAGAGGAGCTGGACATGTTGACATGTCAGGTCGGCAGGTGAGAGGCTGGTACCAGCGGTTGGGGCGGGACAGAAAGACGGCTGAAACATGCGCCCTACAGGACCAAATTGGGCGAGTCTTGAGGAAAGGGAGTGGGGGTAGATTGACGAATGAAAAGGTGGGAAAGAGTTTGGAAGGGGGCGCGGTGGAGGATGAGGAATGGTGTGGATGTAAGGGATAAGTATGGAATAGGGTGACGTAGGGTAGTGTGATTTGAGGTGCGTTGTGGGTGTGGAAGTTGGAGTTTGGTGGGGGAGAGTAGGAATACGATGGAAAAGAGAGGTTTCATAAAGTGTGATTTGGGTTTCTCTAGAGTGATGTAGGTTGGTACTTGATGGGAAAGAGTGATGTAGGTTGGTACTTGATGGGAAAGAGTGATGTAGGTTGGTACTTGATGGAAAAGAGTAGTAATAGGATGGTAAAGGGAGGTTCCATAAAGTGTGATTAGGGTTTCTCTAGAGTGATGTAGGTTGTTGCGTGATGGGGAAGAGTAGGAGTAGGATGTAAAAGGATGATTTCATAAAGTGTGATTTGGGTTTCTCGAGAGTGATGTAGGTTGGTGCTTGATGGGGAAGAGTAGGAATAGGATGGAAAAGAGTGGTTTCATTATGTGTGATATGGGGTTTATCTAGAGTGATGTAGGTTGGTGCTTGATGGGGCAGAGTAGGAATAGGATGGAAAATGGAGGTTCCATAAAGTGTGATTTCGGTTTCTCTAGAGTGATGTAGGTTGATACTTGATGGGGAAGAGTAGGAATAGGATGGAAAAGAGAGGTTTCACAAAGTGTGATTTGGGTTTCTATAGAGTGATGTAGGTTGGTGCGTGATGGGGGAGAGTAG